ACTGCAGTAACTTACCCCCTGTTTGTACATAGGTAGTTTACAATAACTTTTATAGGTTAGGATTTCAGAGATTTGAAAACTGTCATTCCTAGGTTGCTCAGGCTTGGCTGTGCATTATGGGAATTGTATGTTACAATACTTTTTATGAACCGCCTTAAGTGTCTCCCTACCTTTCCTTTAGTTATCCTTTTATCTCCCTTAGTTGTCTTTCCCTAGCATATGCCCTGTTATCCCTCCCCCACCCTATATCCCCAGTAATGTCTCATCCATCACCCCAGTTAGCTTTCACCCAACAACCTGTGATCTCTCTCCCATCACCCCAGATTTGTCTCCCTAGGTCACTCACATTATTTCTCCTCCCATGACCCAGTTATCTCACCCACCTTGAGTTTGCCGAGCATGCGTAATAGTCTCCCAATGCTTTACAATGGGAAAGCATTGGATTGGCTGAGATCATCAAGTGTGATAACCTCAGCCATAGAGGCGGAGCAAAGAGGGCCAAGCCGGCAAGATTGGCGCAGTGTGGCAAAAAAACTTGAGTAAAAACACCTTTTTACTGCTCTGGCAGGGGGCCAGGGACCTAAATTGTGGGTTTAACACTAGTGTCTGGAATACATAGTTGTGTTCTGACACTATAGTCTTCCTTTAAATATGCATATGGATATGGAATAGTGCACATTTACATTGTTTTTTTGTTTGATTTATTTGGGATGATGAATACTATTGCCATTGCAGCCTCCCAAGAGTAGTGGGAGTCCGAGTGCAGGGCTTAATTTTGTGTATTTGTATTTGCTAATATTTGCAATCTCTTGGTAAATTCCCCAAAATCCCATTTAATGAATATCTCTGCTGGAGTGTTGTATTTTCCCCATTTTATTTCTTTGTGTGAGCATGGTTATGTTACGTTATGTGATATGTTTCCATTTCACTACAGTAACCAATTTTAATTCACAAATGCATGCAAACAGAATGTGAAACCATCTGTCATCTTTCACATTTTCACCTTTCGTAGAATGCCATTACATTGTAAAGTGCTGTGTTATATATTGTGTACAGGGGTGAGGGGTCTAAGTTGAAATGTGTGAGCTTCAGGGTAATTTGTTAAATAGCCCTTTTTATCTTTAGCACATATGTTTGTCATAGACATGAAAAAAGCCCATTAGAACCGATCTAGGTTGCTGGGCTTTATCTTAAAAATTATTATTATTATTATTATTATTATAATACTATAATGCTTGGTGGATTTTTTAGCTGCAAACTTAGGTCACTTGATCCCAATGTCCTCAAACTTCTTATCATTTATTCCAATTAATAAAATGTAAAAAAAATAAATAAAAAAAAAGCTGCTCTGAAACAGCATCTGTGGAACAGGTGTCCATCAGCCTTCACATAAATACAAGCCAAGCAAGCAATCCTGATGAGGAAGATGTAAGAAAAATAAATCAATGATAAACGTCAAATTTGGCAATCACACAAATGTACAAACAATACATATTGCAGTCACATGTTCTCTCTTATGGGCTTGTGTGATAAGAATGGTTCCCTCTTTACTTCATTTTATATCTTTGTACAAGAGTATTGTGCAACTTTAAGACTGGATCACAGGACCAGACTTTTTATATTTTATTTATTCTCTCTGTTCCTAAATATTGTTTGTAGGCACGTCGTTTTCGTGTACAAGTTTAATATCCAATTTTATTTCAGTATATGACATTTGAATTCAGATTATGCATTACCTATGTTAGCGGAATTGTCTGATTACCTATCAATAAATAATTTGCTCTTTGCTAGATCAGATTATTTAAAAAGTTTGACGAGAACCTAGCCATAAGGAGCTTACAATCTAGAGGAGGTAGACATAAAAACACAAAAAGAAGGACAGCATGCAGATAGCAACCAATCACAGGATGACAGAGTAGCAGAATTTGAAGGTGAGAGTGAAGTGGAGTGTAGACCCACTAATTAAGTTGAGAGAGTAATGAGTAATAACAGTTACCCCGAGATTCCAAATGATTTTCTGAAGGGATGGGTTTTAAGAGACGTTTTACAAGACTGAAGACTTGAGGATAGTCTGATCGGTGGAGGAAGGTTAATCCATTGGAATGGGGCTGTCTGTAAGTGAGAGTTAGCAGTACAGCTACAAGAAACAGGCAGTAGAAGGAATGACTGAGAAGGGGTGTAATATACGAATCAAGAAGAAAGTTATTGAGAGCTTTGTTGGTAAGAGGTAATATTTCAAACTAAATCCTATTGAGCACAGGAATCTAATGTAATAATTGATAGAAGGTTGAGGTTTGAGAGGAGCAACGGGAGAGAAAAATAAGTCTGGCAGAAGCATTCATTATTGACTGTGGAGAGGAAACATGGTTTCTGGAGAGACCTATTAAGAGAGATTTACAGTAGGCAATGCGAGAAATTAGAAGAGTATGATCAAGGTTCTCAGTAAATGATTGCGTGAGAAAGGGACAAATGTAGACAATGTTTCTTAAGTGTAATTGGGTGTAATTGGCAGGATTTGGTGACAGACTGGATGTGAGGTGCAATAGTGTGGCCAGAATTAAAGATAACACTAAAGCAGTGAGCTTGCAAGGACGGGATGATGCGCAAGGATAAGTATTATGAGAAGGGAAGATAAGTAGCTCAGTTTTCGAAAGATGGAATTTTACTAAGTGGAAGGACATTCAGTTGGAGACAGAAGAGAGGCAAGGTGGGCATTTCTTGGTGTCATCGGCAAAGTTGCCAAGATTGGCAGTTTAAGTAGCATTGGAGGACTCCAACTGAGAGAGTATAAGGGGAAGAGATGTTACCGTAAAAGGAAACTAAATAATTGTTGGGAGAGGGGATAAGAATCTTGAAAGGACAGTGTTTTGAAGACAGAGGGTGTGAAAAGTTTTTAAAAAAAGAGAGATATGAACAGTGTCAAAGACAGCAGCAGAGAGGTCTAGAAGAATAGCATAGAGTAATGTCATTGAATATAGCCGAGATTAGATCATTAGCTAATTTTCTGAGCAGTCAGATATTGTCAGATATTCACTCTACGTTAGAAAGCCACCTTTCACATGTTTTCCCTCTCTTTGCCTTGGTAGACCACAGAAATGTAATATAGTAGATTGCTGAGAAGAAGATATCAGTGCTAGGAATCTATGCAAATTAACAGAGTGGGAAGTTCCTTTAAATATGTCAACTTTGTAATGTTTAGCCAAAGTGTTCTAAGATGACAGTGCTCCAACCTTCCACCACTGACCCACATGGCTTAAAGGAACACTACAGGGTCAGGAACACAAACATGTATTCCTGACCCTATTGTGTTAAAACCACCATCTAGCCCCTGCTTCCCTAAATATAGAAAAATCTTACTTGAAATGCTTTCCTATGAGCATTTTTAATGTGTGCGTAGCTCTGGCCGCGCACGTGCATTCATCTCCACTCGGGAGCTGACGTCAGAAAGGAAGGAGAGGTCACCAGTGCCGAGGGAGCCCGGCACTGGATAAAGATAAGTGGCTGAAGGTGTTTTAAGGGGGGCCCTGAGGGAGGGGGGCACCTAAGGATTATATAGTGTCAGGAAAACGAGTTTGTTTTCCTGACACTATAGTGGTCCTTTAAGTTTGAAATTCACCTTAATTTCCCAACATTTCACAGTGAATGTCCCTGCAAGTGTGATAGAAGACATATCCAAACATTAGCTGACAGCCTACCAGTAAATCTCTCCTAAATCAAAGCCTACAGGTTACTCTGGGATAAAGCAGCAGAGACAAGCTTTGTTCCCTTAAGAATTAGTACTTAATAGCGTGTGATCAGGGGAAGGTAGTCTGACATCAGTAAACACTGCACGATCTGAACAATGTACAAGTCTTCCTTCCCAGGCGAGAATGTAGGATGCATATGGCTTGTATATGGATCTGTGTTTACTGGCATTTTCCAGCTGCCTTTGGAGTACATTAAACAGGAAATTGATGCCACAGGGCAAATATTCATTCTTTCTAACTTCTCTTACAAAACAAGTAGAGATTTGCTGTGGCTAGACTAACTTCCTGCTCTTATCCCAGCTTCACACCACCGGGGAATAACTATCTATCTGTTTCAGATTAACAGCACCCACTCAGTTATTACTCTGTTTTAACCAGCAGTATGTGGGGGTTTCTTTTTATGGAAGATGAACATTGTATTACTGGATCTGAACACATTTCATTTAGTTTCATTTAGATAGATAGATGTGTGTGTGTGTGTATGTATGACCCATGACTTAGTCACATTGAAATCATTTCTTGTGAGTTTGTTACTTAGTTTCACCTATTACATAATGTGGCTTAATACTGCTGGCGGGCTAACTGCAAATTACGGCTTACCTTTAGCAGGATAGTAGTAACAGGAAAGTATTAGCATAAGTAACACATTCATTCATTTCTCCCATTAAAGGGACAGTGTAGTCACCAGAACAACTACAGCTTAATGTAGTTATTCTAGTGCCTGCAGGCTGTCCCTGAAGGCTTTTTAATGCTATCTACATCAATGCCTGGGAACATCTCTAGTGGCAGTCACTAAGACGGCCAATAGAGGTTCTTCCTTGGTCAATGTATCTCCCCGGGTTTTGACACACATGCGCAATAGTCTCCAAATGTTTTTCTATGGGAAAGAATTGGATTGACTGAGATAGCCAAAGGAGGCATAGTTTTTTGTGTTTTTGCAATTCTAGTGTCAGGAAGAATGCAGAATGCCAGTATTCAATTTAGTGAGATATATATATATATATACAAAAAAAATAATAATTTATATATATATATATATATATATATGCAAATTTATTATATTTCTCATTTATTATATCTACATATATATGTATACCTCTCAATATTAAATTGCATTGGGTGTTTAATGTTAAAAGAATTAAAAGCATGAGATGGGTTATAGTTATGGTATAAGGGGTGTTTAAACGTAATTGGGTTAAGGGTGAGAACCATAGGCGTGCACAGGCTATTGCATAAGGGTGTGCACCCTAAAGCACAACACACACGCCGCATGTATATGTATGTGTGCATGTATATATATATATATATATGTCTATATATATATATATATATACACACACAAACACATACATACACTGCTGTGTGTGTGTGAGGTTGCTGTCAGGGTGCTGTGTGTGTGTGTGTGAGGGTGCTGGTAGTGTGCTGTGTGTGGGTGATGTGTGTGTGTGTGTGTATGTAAGGCTGCTGTGTGTGTAAGGCTGCTGTGTGTGTAAGGGTGCTGTGTGTGTGTATGTAAGGGTGCCGTGTGTGTGAGGGTGCTGTGTGAATTTGACTAGAGGGATTGTGTTTGGGGGTAGGAGGACGGAATAGGAAATAGCCCCCCTCCCTTCTTACCTTTTGCCTCGGAGGGGGATCCTTGCTGACATCTCTGATCCCTGGTGGTGCTAGTGGTGAGTGAACGCGTGGAGCTGCTGGCAAGAGCTCCCCGGGTCCTCTCCTGCCTCCCTCCCTGCCTGTGGGCCCTCACCGGCCCATGTAGGCACACATTGTGGGCTGCGGGGATTAGGGTGTGCCCAGGCACACCCGGCGCACCCCGTGCACACACCTAAGGTTATAATGGAGTTAAATTTAGTATTGGGACACAATGGATATTTCGTTTTTAAGAGGAGTTTAACCTAGGATTAAGGTATAAAGTTTTGTTTCAGGTTTAGACTTCGAGTGCTTCAGTTTGGGACTAATGCTGTTTGTTTATGTTTTGGAAAGGGTTATATTTAGGCATAAGTCAAAAATGCTGTTTAGAGTACAGGCATGTGCAGTTTAAGAACTAAGTACTCACCCAACTATGATTAATTGAACTCCAGGAGCTGTTATACAGTGTGCATCACTTAGTGCTCTCCCTGCTCCTCCTGCAAGGCAGGTGTGTGTGAAAGGCTCCTAGTGGGCAGATGGGAAGTGATCCCTTCCTCTTCCCTATCCAGCTTAACACACAGACTATGGAAGAACCATGGCAACACTGGGATTCACACTCTCTATAACTGTCCCTGCAGGTCTGCTCTCAAACATAGGAGGCTGACTGGTCCAGAGGTATTGACAGAGGTATTTAGGAGGCTGACTGACAGAGGTATTTATCTCCCCTCACCAGCCTGTTTAAACTAAAAAAGGCACATATTAAAGGGAAACTACTGTGCTAGGAAAACAAACTCATTTTCCTGGCACTGTAGCTTCTCCCTTTGTCAAGTCTCCACCCCCCTGTACCAATGGTGCAGAAAGCTAAAATAACCCCTTCTGTCACTTACCTGGGTCCCGCACTGATCTCCCTCCGCACTGACTCAGCTCTGCCCACGCTGTTCCGCGGGGGACACCTAATGCGCATGCGGGGCAATGGCCGCACACACATTAGGATTTCCCCCACAGGAAAGCATTATTCCATACTTACCTATGGGGATTCCGGTGACGCTGGAGGTCCTCATGCATAGCGTGACTCTGGCTATATGGGATAGTTATGTTATCCAGCTATGTGTACTATTTATCTGTTTTTTACTCAGCTCTACATGTTGGTTGGGTATCTCTGTAGTCTACATAGCACTGTGTGTTGTATAGGTATCTTTGCATTGTGCCAGTTCTATGTATTACATCTATTTTTTCTTTGCTCTGTTTGTGGTATGGTTATCTCTGCATTGCACTGAGCAGCACTATGTATTTTATATCTATCTTTATGTTGTGTCCATCTTGTTTTATTGTATGGGCATCACTGTAGTATGCCCAGATCTGTATTGTACAAGTATCTCTGTATTGTATAGGGAGGAGTAAAATTCAGGGTGAGGAGTCTGGCGCCCCACCATCTTAAAACTTCACCAACAGCCACTTATTGAGCAGTGTGTTTTAAAGTTCAAACTTTCACAAATTAGATTCTTTGTGTCTCTTAGTAATGTCTTTCAGTGCTCATAAAAAAAGCATTTTTCTTACTCCATTGATATTAGTCTACAAAGCTAAGTTATTAAAGAATTCTAAAAATAAACCACAGTATTATGGAACTTTTGGCATTGAGATCCATGTACGTTATTTATTAGAGCCACATTTTACTTAATTCGCATGCAATAAAGTATGTGCATGTAAACAATGACACTGACCACTGAACATGCTATATTAAAAATGACAAAAAAATCTATTTGTTCTTAACTCCAGGGTAATAAGTTGTGGTTTAGATTAATGCATCTGTCGTGGAAACCGGATTCCTTTGTAATTTACAAGCCAAGCAGACTGCACGCAATATAGTGTGAGTTACTAAAAGCAGCTTTTAAGTTCCCGAAGGCTGACCTAGAGAGATGAGACTTGGGAAAGAATGGCTAGAGACCCTAACTGATTAAAATTAGTGCAATGGGCTATGGACAGAGATATTAGGAAAATTCTTATTAATAAAAGTTAGCAAACCTGATGTAAGGATGGTGTCAAATTGTTGTGTAAAATCTGTAAGAAAAGCCTGTAATACATCATGCCTACCAAAATTTGAAATTGACAAAAAGGGACTTTAATTTTAGGGGTATGCATGGGGTGTGGCCAGGGGCGGGGCTGTTCTGAGAAGTTTTAGGTGACTTACTAATAATTTATGCAACTAAAATGTAATTTAGAACAAGAATAATCAATCTAATTTACACAGATTAATTATTTTTCAAATGTTTTTTTATTGTTTTTAAATAATAATAGAAATAACATTTATACTTTTTTGTCAACATTTTAACAAGCAGTAATGTATAAACAATACGATATGTGAGTGTTGACATAATGAAAAAATATCTTCAATATAGATACTTTATCAATAGTCTTAGTAACCGCATTAGGATCATAGCTGAAAAAAACAGAGAAACAAAAAGGGAATAACTGGGGGGGTGGAAATGAATAAACTTAATATTCATAGTATGATATATAAAAAAAATGCAAATAATTGTATATAAAAACATGAAAAGTATATTGTTGTTTTTTTATTTTATTTTTTATTTTATTGGTCAGGTGGGAACATTGTCAAGCTTGTACTTACTCCTCATAGCTTTCTCTTATTCAGACCAGTTGTGTCTGAGAAGTACATTGGTAGCAGATGGTACCCGGAGAGCCAGTTTGCATCTTTTATTTTCAAACAGAAACAGTAAAACGTCTTTAACAGAGGGAATAGTAACAGATTTGCAATATCTTGGCATGATTGATGTAGACGAGATAAGGAGGTGGCCTAACATGTTTTTTTTGTGTGCTGGTAAATCTACAGGGAAGCGCTTAACCCCTTAAGGACACATGACATGTGTGACATGATTCCCTTTTATTCCAGAAGTTTGGTCCTTAAGGGGTTAAAGGAACACTATAGGGTCAGGAACAGTGGCGTACACACAATCCATGGGACCCCGGTGCGAAACTGATCCATTTTCCCCCTTACAATCCATGTCCATCGGGTGGCCTTGACAGCATGTGGCAGCTTGCCTGGTACCCGGGCGCAGTGGTCCGCAGGGTGGCCTGGCCCCCTGGGGTCCTGGGCCCGGTCGCAGCTGCGACCCCTGCGACCGCAGTATGTACGCCACAGGTCAGGAACACAAACATGTACTCCTATAGTGTTTAACCCACCATTTAGGTGACTTGTCCCCCTTTAGCCACTTAAAAGCAATTAAAACTCACCTTATTACCAGCGCCACGCGGGTCCGCCAGCGCTGGTCCCGCCCCCTTGGTGACATAATCAGAATTGCCCATTTTTAGCCAATCCAATGCTTTCCCTTGGCAAAAGCATTGGATTGGCTAAAATCGACATGTGGCGGGGCCAAACACCTCAGCATAGAGATACATTAAATCAATGCATATCTATGAGGAAAATTCAGCGTCCTCATGCAGAGCGTGGAGACGCTGAATGGCAGAACTGCCTACTGTGCAGCACTGAGCCAGGAAGCACCTCCAGTGGCCATCTGCTGAGTGGCCACTTGGAGGTGTCCCTAGGGGCAATGTAAACAATACCTTTTCTTTGAAAAGGCAGTGTTGCATGAAAATGCCTGCATATAATGATTAGACTCAGCTGAACAACTACATTAAGCTGTAGTTGTTTTAGTGACTATAGTGTCCCTTTAAGTAAACACAATCTAGGTGTTAAATTGACAGGGAACAGAGTAACAAATATAATTAATTCTAATATTTTTTGTCAGTAATCAGATAATTTTGGGCATGACCAAAAAGTATGATATAAAGTACCTATTTGTCCACAGCCTCTCCAACATAAATTTGATATGGAGAGGTGTAGTCTGGACATTTTAAATGGGGAGAAGTACCACCAATAAATTAATTTCAAATGATTTTCCAAGTGTGAAATGCAACGAGTAACACCTTTCAGTGCTAGTAATGATGTATGCCATTCTTCAACTGTAAATACATCACCCAGATCACTCTCCCACTTTGTTATGTATGCTAGTTTCAAACACACCTCACGTGCAAAAAAAGGCATAGAATAGGTTTCCTGCCAGGATCTGAGATATAAACCTTTTCTAAATTTGACAGTTCCAATCTTCTAGAATTCAGATCCTGGTTGTAAATCCCCAAATGCTCACTAATTTAACCAAATTTGCATGTGCAGGGGTGTCAAAAACACTCAATTGGAATTTCGTTTGTAGCTGTTGAAATGGTAAAAATTAGAGGACAAAAATAAATCATTGATACAATGAATCGAATGAGAGGACTGTGACGAAGTGCCCTTCGCCACTTGGTACTGGAGAGGCCTGCTTGCCAGCCTCCTCCCCTGTGACTATGACTCTTTGATGTATTTGCCTTTAAAGCCCCTATTCTACCTTCAGACAGACTATTTATGTAGGCTGCTTTATTTATCTTATGTTTTAGTCACCCTGTACCCATTATAGGTGCAGGGTGTGTGTAATGTAATTGTTTATAGTGTGTGTGTGTACTGTGTAATGTATTGCCTGCTCTCTTGTATTGCTGAGGTTTGCTACCAACTAGGTGGGTTTGGCTATGGAGCTGGTCTAGTGCCCTCTGTTGGTAGCAACAGCAATATGCACTACCTGAATTGCAAGACTGGTTCATTTGCATATTCGGATAGATTTGCTTATTGCTAATTCTGCAGGCAGGTGAGATATTTAATGTTAAATATTGCCTCCCCCCACCCCTTTAAAAATGT